CTACAACAGAGATGTATTGGGTTGAAAGTAAAAGAATGAAGGACTGTCAAGACGTTAAACTGCTTAAACTGCAATTTAAGTGCTGAAAGATTCTGTTATCGCTGTGTTATCCATGAGTGGCGAAATTCGACAATAAATTTGTGTGCACCGCTCAGACTTGGCACTGGAAGTTAATGTAAATATTGAGTATGTGTATGTATAAAAAAGGACCTTTTTCATACATGCACATACTAAATATACATTTACATTAACTTCCAGTGCCCATGGTTTTTGGTTGGTATTTTATTCATTATATTAAATGCCACAAGATTATTTATACTTCGATAAAATTTAGGGTGTTGGTTAGGGGGTTCAAACAAGCAATCGTTATAAAATACCACAATAAATTATCATTTAAGGACAGATCAACTTAAGTCATGTTTATTTTAATTAAATGAATATGTTTAACCGCAATTTTTTTTTTTTTTTTCATTCCAAGTTTCACAATGATGGGATTTAAAGTGACAAAAAAGTTGTAAAGATTAATAAGGATTGTTGAAGAAAGGTATAATTTTGAACATCACAGAAAGTTTACAATTTCTTAACATTTAAGAGATATTTTATTTGCATCATTTACAACCAAAATATATCCAAAAATATAAACCAATCTAGGCATCCATTTTTTTATTGTTTGTATCATCTGTCCTTAAGGATAAATAACACAAACATTTTTTTTTCATAATCAGGAATGTTTCTCATAGAATTGTATTCAAATAGGTAACCTGAATAATGTTTGCCAGGTAAGGTGAATAATGTTTGCTAGGTAAGGTGGGAGAATTTTGTAAGATTTTCATAATGTTAAAAATATAAGTGTTTTGTATAGAATTACAAAGAAACGACACTAAGTGGCATATTTAAGCACCAAAGAAAACTTAAAATTTCTTCAAATCTTAGGGATTTATTATTTATGTAATTTCTATCCAAAATCAGTCAAAAATATATATCAATCCATGCATCAATTATGTATCCTTAAATCAGAATTGTTCTATAAAATTTTTCCGAATCCAAATCCCAATGCAATCAACACCAGAAAAAATGTATTTATTTTCAAAACGTTTTGACGTTTATCTTTCCAAAATTAAAGCTGTCGACATCAAGATACCAAGGGTATTCGATAACTCCTTTCTGCATGTATTTGTTTGGAATTCAACACGATGGCAAATTCAATAAAATCGTCTGAATTGTTAAAATTCTCAAGCCCTTTCCGAGATTTAATTAAATCAAATGAGGTGTAGGAAATGAAAAGTTCCAATATTTTAATTAGCAATTTACAATTTGTTTGATATCATCATGTATGTTGCATTAATAACGACTTCATATCTTTTGATCTGAACTTTAGCGTATGATTTGATATTGATGACTCATTAATCAATTTTGAGTTTAGTAGAGTGTGGGACCAAAGATAAGAGAAATACAGGTGGACAGACAAATTGACATGACAATTCCTATATAACCCCCAAAACTTAGCCATATTTTAGGACATCAAGTAGACATCACGTCAATATTGCGATGTCTTACCTGCTAGCATTATTCACATACTTTACAACACAATTTTATGAATATGGCACTCTTATTACATGTTTCCTGTTAACATCATTGGTAACTCTTTGTTAGACGACATCATGTCAACATTGAACTAGCCGTTTCATCTTATTTACATAGTTTAGCACCATCACAATGTTGGTCAGCAAAGAGTTGACATTGTGTCAACTTTGAAGTGTCTAATTCTGTTTACACCTTTCACTTCATCTATATCCCAATGTTGGACTGCATCAAGTTGACATCGTGTCAGCAGTGCATCTTATCAAGTTAACATTATTTACATTATCGACATCGCACTGTTAGACGATAGTGAATTTACACTTTATCAAAATTGCATTGTCTTCTTTGTTGGTTTGGTTACCGACGTTCAAATATTTTTACACAGCAATGTACACGGTTAGAACTTGATATTGTATCAACATTGTCAACATTGTAATGTTGACAATATAGACATGAAAATGATAAACACAGTATCCTGTATTTTTGCTATGACAAAGAAGTACACATATATATTGTATCAGCACTGTCGACATTGCGATGTCGAAGACGTATACACAGAAATGATGAAGATGCAGACAATGTTCATGAGATAATGTATCAACATTCCGACAGCAATGATACCGAATTGGTAAAGTGAACTGCATATGAATGACTTAATCATAATTTCAAAACATATTTGATATAAATCCAATTTCATGATTCTGTGACACTGCATGTTTTCCCCCAATTAATATCAAGCATTTTTCTGATTTTATAGATAAAAGATGTTATATCTTCATTCAGCATTGCTGCGATTCTTAATCTTTTTCATATCAGGAATATTATAACACAAATACAACTGAAAAACATATTTTAATTACAATTTTTCGAGTGTGACTAAAATGGGTAGTAAAACCCGGGCCGGGCCGGGAATTTTGAAACTGAAAACCGGGTTTTTGCTAATAACTGAAAAAATACTTAATTATTTGTCATGAAACTTACCGATATAATTAAATACAACACAATATGCCTTCACTGAAAGATTCAACTCCAAATATTACTTTTTTCAATGATTATCGACGATTGTCATTTTCCCGGTGACTAAAATGGGTAGCAAACCCGGTTTGCATATTTTGGTGTTTTGCACTTAATATTATTGAAATAATTGCAGCTTTTTGTATTGGATAGATGGAAATCAACTTAAACAACCCAAAAATTATAACCATTTTATTAATATTCACCGATTGTAGAAATGCATTTTTGAACACCCGGGACCGACCAAAACCGGAGACGTTTACCCGGGACGAACCATAAATTTCCGAGATAATGACGAGAGGAGTAAATATTACTGAACCAAGCCAACTGCGTAGATTTTATCAAATTTACTGGTAATATCTTCATGATCTTAATTTAACATGTTCCAAGCTAGCTCTGCAGACATATACATGTAAATTCGGCGAAATGATTACCTGAATACGAATCTAGCTGTAGCCTACAGTCTTTCTCTTGTCAAATCATTATGTCCATAACTCCATTAGTATATAACTCCATTAGTATTTAAAAGAAAAAAAATAGAATATGTCGGTATTTTTGTGTATATTTCATTTATTTTCTCCATTTGTTGATTTATTTTTTTTTTTTTTGGGGGGGGGGGGGGGGAGTTAGATTACTTTTTTAAAATAAATTCTACATTATTCTCTGCACCCGGTTATCTGATGGCAATTTTTTCGGAATGTTCCAGTTTGTCCCGGGCAAACGCGTCCGGTTTTGGACTGTCCCGGGTATCAAAACTCGGCGATTATTTTAATTATCGACATTAATTTTTGCAATTGTCGTAATATTTAAGTTCTTAAAGTTAATAAACAATGATAAAACACAAAGACATCCCATTTTTGAGTGTAATTAGCTTTAAAGCACCAAAATGAATAAACCGGGCTTACTACCCATTTTAGTCACCGAGAAAATGACAATCGTTAATAATAATTGAACAATATAATATTTGGTGTTAAAACTCTCAGCGAAGACACATTTTGTTGTATTAAATTACATCTGTAAGTTTCGTGCTGAAGAATTCAGTATTTTTTCAGTAATTAGCGAAAACCCGGTTTTCAGTTTCAAAATTCCCGGCCCGGCCCGGATTTTACTACCCATTTTAGTCACACTCCAATTTTTCTTAAATTAAAAAAAAAAAAACTTACACAGGTAGTTCCAGTATTTATGCCATAGGAGTAAACATCACTTTGTACCGTGGCTGCAACGTTATTGTTGACAACTTACACGAACGATCACGTTACACGAACGATTCCGCACGATTAACGCACGATAAAATCTGTTACACGAACGATCCTTCACGCACACGATTCTACACGTTACACGATCTTACACGATTGCTAACGCAAACGCACGATTCTTCACGCAAAATAGTTCAAATCCTTTAGGAATGGATATTTTCAAAACGAAATAAGGCTTAATACTTATTTTAGATTTCAAATAATTATTGATATTATGTCATCGTCTTTGAAAAATTAAAAAAAAAAACAAACAGAAATGGATATTTCTGGAACTAAATACATGTAAGACTTATTAATTATTTTAAATTACAAATAATTATTTACGTAATTTTCCGACTTAAGAAAACTGAATTTTTTTTCCGTTCTATCAGAAGATGTACAGGTAGATGGACCGTGAGTTTTGATTGAATTGGATTTCATAATATGCAGAAAGGGATAAGTCTGAAAAAAATGGCATGAAAATGATCAGAATTAGATTATAAGTTATATCCATGTTTCCATTTGTGAATCTCTAAAATCAGCAATTATTTTACAAATCATTTATTTGCAGAAATTATAAAACTAATTAAAAGTAAGCTCCAGCGATAAACACTGATAAACGAAACCCCGACAATCGTGTCGTGTACATGTACATTCGCCGACTAATATTTATGTAAGCATCGAGAATTGTTTATTTATTTATTTGTAAAAATATCTATTTTTGATCTATTGATTTTAAAAATATTTTGACCATAATTAGCAGTAAACATAATTAACATCAGAGAAAAAATCCTTAAACATCTAAGTACGTTTATCGCAAAAAATCACGCTATTTGACGAGAACACAATAGTGTACGACTTACTATATTGCTTATTTCCAAGCGATAATTAGTTCGTTCTGCTTTCAATTATGTAAATCGCGCTTCATTTATTTTATTTGGATTGAAAAAAAGAAAAAAAAAACAGACAAGCGAAATGCTTGTATAACAAATAACATTCCGATAAAAACTTACAAAACGAAATTTATGCGTTTCTTAACGCACGATCACGCACGACAAAAACCGCAAACGATTGAGTCTGATACACGCACGATCTCGCACGTTACACGAACGATTCTACACGATTGGTTTGTCAACAATAACGTTGCAGCCACTGTACTCAGCATATACAGTTCACTCAAATTAAAATTAGGACCTGTCAAGGCATAACTTGTTTGCCTCAATTCATTGTATCTTCTCATAACCAGACTGCATCTTCTTTATAAGCATAAGTGCTTTGAAAATTATCTTTCTATCTTCACGACTCAGATAATTGTAGGGTTCACTATAGAAAAATAACGGACGTTCATCTTCCTCTACCTTCAGAGAGCCAGGTCTATTTGCTGGTGATTCTTTAATTTTCTTCATGGTTGTTTTTGGAACCTCAAGGTATGTAAATCTTACCTGAAAACACATCATATACATTAAAGTATAATTACATGAAGTCCATTGGACACATCTGCTCACCTGAGCAACAATGCCCAAGTATGACCCTAACATTATTTATAGGTAGTTTTAATACAAAATCATATACTGTAGACCAAGTAATACAACAAATATGTTGATATCACAAACATTAACTTGATGATGCAACCTCTATAAATAAAAAAAAATAAATTGAAAAAAAATTCAATTCTTAGACTAGTTCAATGTTATTGACTTTTTTCTGATTTTTAAATCAAATTTTGTCAGTGACATTTCTTAAGATTGGCTAAATATATATGAAACTCAATGACATGGTAGCTAGGTCATTACATGTAGATGTGCAGTCACAACCTTTTATTGTGTAGTTAATACTTTCAGTCCTCAAAGGAGGTGAATTTTTAAAGTTGAAATTTTCAACTTCTTTTTAATTTAATTTAATATTAGTAGTGTAAATAGAGACTCTTATTAGAATATTAGAATTCTAATTATATAATTTTTTTAATTGATTAATCCAAACTCTAGGACTAGATATTTGTAATTTTTTATATCAATTTGAAGTGATGGTTCCGCTAGCATACTGGTGAGCATGTTGGATTTTAAAGCGGGCAAACCTGGTTATATCCCTAGAATGCCATGGCAACAAGGTTTCTTGTCCTATGTACAACTTTGATCCCCTGTTGTGGCCCCACAGTACTCTTGCGGATCACGATTTGAACAAAGTGGAATCTAAACTATATGGCTTTTCTCTTTTTGAGAGGAAAATTTTTAATTAAAAGATATTTTCTATAGATGTATATGTATAACTTTGACCCCCAGTTGTAACTCCATCCTACAACTGCCTTATTGGGAGTCTTGTTTTGAACAAATTTGAATCTACACTATGTAATGAAGCTTTCACATATTAGTTTCATCTTTTCTGGCCCAGTGGTTCTTGAGAAGAAGGTTTTAAAAGATGCCACTAAATTATTCACTTATTCTTAATAATCTCTCCTTGAAAGAGGATGTGGCCCTTCATGTGAACAAACTTACAACCTCCATCACCCAAAGATGCTTTTTTTCAAGTTTAGTTGAAATTAGCCCCATGGTTCTGGAGAAGTCTAAAATTAGAAAGTTAAGAGACCATACAAGAGACAACACATGGCAGACAGACAACGGACACTTTTTGATCAGTAAACCTCACACGAGTCTTCAGCTGAAGTGAGCTAAAATCAAAGGAAAACAGAACTGGACTATTTAATTATATCAAATTTCTAATCTCTTTCTCCGTTGTATAATGACTGTCACAATGATATCTGACAATCAATGGTATAAAATCTTTTACATACCCATGTTTTATCAATGGTAATGCCAAGTACTCCATCATATCTAAATGACTTATCCAGATACACCAAAAGATCTCCAATGTGTTGTGCCCATAAGTTATGATCACCAATGTTACATCTTGAAGATGCTGTACTTTGTGAGGAGGTAGTGTCACTTTCCCTTGACTATCAAATTTCAAAAATTTATTACTATATAAATATTGCATGTAGGTGAGTGTAACATTGAAAATTTTCACCCCAAGAAAACCATTGTCAACCGAGGCGCAGCTGAGGTTGACAATGGTTTTCGAGGGGTGAAAATTTTCAATGTTACACTCACCTACATGCAATATTTATTATATACTGAATGTTTTATACAAATACATATAACAGTGAACCTTGTGCGCATAAATTTTGCGCAGTCACTATTTTTTGGAATATCACTCATAGTCAAGCAATGTTGACTGTTGCTATGCTGGAGGGCGTGGCTTCATCATTCAGCGGGTAATAGTGTTTTTTAACAAATGTTTCTCGACGAATCAGACTCAACTAATTTACTTGAAAGTATAATATCAATAAATCTTTCATTTTCCCTTTCTTTCAGTGACAAGGGGAAGATGGAGGGGCAGAATTCCTTGTTGTTTTGCACATGTCACAAAATCAATATGTCTTCTCCAATCTTCAACCAAAGAAAATGTGCACTAATATCAAAGTTTAAACATCAAATGACGCACTGTGTAATTATTCATAGCTTGACAATGTATATCTTTAGACACTTTTAACTGTCAGAGGTACATATACATCATACTTTTACCTTCAAACCAGTACAGTTACTGTAATAAAAAAACGGGTGCATAATTATGTTGTTTCTTTAAAGTTAATGAAAATAAAGGGGACAACACATTTTATTTGGAAATACCTAAATCCTGCCTGTAGTTTTACCTCATTGACAATTTTACAAATAACTCAACATTGTGGAAAAAATTAAATCATTTATATAATAAAAATAATATATCTCCATTTTTGTTGTTTTTTTTTCTTTAATTCCATCTTTCACTGTAATTGACATGGATGGAAATGCATTTAATAATTTTGTTTTGATGTATGTCAAAACATCCAAAAGTGAAAATGTAGCAATAATTTGAACCAAGAATGAAATGAAAGATTAAATGCATTAATTTTCCAGACAAAGCTTACAGCCAGACAGACAGATGGAGAGCCATTTAGAGTGTACCACAAGGCAGGTTTTTACAAGAGAATAGTAAATCTAAAATTTTTATTAGAAATAGGTTATTAACTGAATATTAGAAAATAGCCCCAGGTCTTTATGTAATAAAATGGTAAAAGGAATTGTCAAATCCACACTCTGCAAAAGTTATGTCCCTTTGCAGGGTCAACCAAAAGTTTAATTGCGAAAGAAACTATGTTTCCCTTTTTTATGCTACCAATCTTTTGAGCATGCTCTAATAAATCCACTGTAACTTTATTTTTTTTATCTTTAAATATATGGGTAGTCACGTCCTGGTGCAATCATATTACAAGATATAAAGAATTTTACCAGCCAAATGGCAAAGTTAAAACCCCAAAAACACAAATGCTAATGTGAGGATAATATGGGTTTTCCCCCATAGATGGCAGCAAAGGGGCATAACTTTTAAAAAATGGGGATTCAACTATATTACTTGATATTGTCAGTATCTTTGTTTAATAAATATTCTGAAGAACCAAACTTTTCTTTTTAATTTTATACACATAATTGGAATCTCTCTGAATTTTGGGTCATGAACTTACAAGTAATTGCAACATTATAGTAAATTCTGAGGCATGTTTAACAATGCAACTCATGAGTGTGTGGGTTTTATGTAGTGAGTGAGGGCTGATATGGCTTTGTAAGAGTCCCCCTTTTTTTTCTTTACAATTAAGAAATGAATAAAAATATACACCCATGCACGCATTAATAATGATGCCCTTCAACAAAAATGTTAATTATTCTGAAGACAGACATACACGTACCATTGCTGTAACTGCTACATCAGGTTTCATCTTTTTCTTTGGGGGACACGAAGCATTGTCTTTCTCTGATATGGTCTGCGAATGAATGAAGCATAAAATGACTCTGAGATTCTGCAGAACTATGACCTGTAGGGGAACAAAGACATTAACAGGGTGTTCTTGTTTTAATTTATAAGACGTATTCTGTCTTGTTATCTTAGGGTAATGTAGTCTGGTGGTTAAATGAAATTGTTACACAAAATTGTCACCCTTGATCAGTCCAGTCCATTATAAAAAACTGTAATATTACAGTTTTCTATAAAATAAAATGTTACATTACAATTTTTCATAATATATGTATAACTATATAATGGAAAATGTCTATATTATGAAAAAATACACATGATACAGATAATGCTTGACAAAAATTAAATTCAGTCTTACTAATTGCTTTATTACATGTATGAAATGTTTTGGCTCCAAATTTCTGCTTTATATGACTTCAAGGTGCAGGGTCTGAAATTATCCCACGTACAGTATTGCTTATTTTTTCACTTTCATTGACACAATGCATATTATGATTATGAATGTCTATATACATCTCCAATGAGAAATTTTTGTGGGATTGCAGTACTTTTCCTGTATAGTTTAAAGATTACTTATTGGCCTGATACTGGTCTTATGTCTCTGTCATACCTAATATTGCTTTTTAGGTTTGCTCCAACCATCATGTTACCTTCAAAATGTAACTTCTGCACTGTCTAATGATAAACAAGCTGATAATCTTGCATAGTGCTATATCTGAAGGTTTAAAAAGACACATAATGCTCCTTTGGTATCCACTCTACTTTTTCATATACAGTGTAGTAAGATATAGTACTGACCCTGCTGTGAGCTAGGTGCAAATTTGATCAAGCAACCCATCTATTTTTACAGTATGAGGGAGATAACTCTTATTTACACTATGTCATGTATATTATGGAAAATTCTAATATTACATTTTTTTCATGATGGATTGGACTGTTGATGAGCATATAATTTTTCCCTGCGTTGAAAAGTCTCTGACAATATCACTTTACCTATAAAAATATAAATTCAGAAACCACAATACTATATGGTGGGATTTTTAAAGCGGTGATGATTTCAAGTAATTGGTAGTAGCATGTTAAAATTCTAATCAATTTAGCAAAATATATAACTTTGATTAGTCTTTTGTTATCAGGCTCTGGGCCATAAAACTTAGATAAGCTTACTTTTTGATCTTGGTCTCACTTTTACAATAGGAATATACTGTGAGACTGAGATCAAATGTGAGCACATGCAGGGGCGTAGCTTGACTTTAAATTCTAGTGAGGCAAAACCATACATGTAGCAGCAAGATCTAGGTCTGGGGCCGCTTTAAGCCCCCAGCAGGTTCCGGGTGGTGTCATGGGAGGGGGGGGGGGGTTCACTCCGACAGAAGATGGAGTTGGGGGTTTTAAAATGCAATGAAATTTCATTTGCTGTACTGGTTTCTTTATTCAAGACTTCGGCACGATACTACTTATTGTAAAAGAATGTAAAAGAGTTAATAAATATGTTTCCTAAAACTTCTGAAACATGTGAAAGCGCATCTTATTTTATTTTGCTTTTATTTCTTTAAAACTTCAATTCAACATTATAGAACTGCTTAAAATGTTAAAAGAAATGCCATTAATTTTACGTATTATCTGCAATGTATTGTTGATTATGTGAAGGGGTGGTGGTGGTGAAAAATATAGTGAGGCAGTTGCCTCATTGCCACAATGGAAGCTACGCCCATGGAATGTAAGTTTTATGACCATGGCGCTAGATTAAGTATCCTGTTGCTGTTGAAACAGTTTCACTCACACTAAAAAAAAAACAAGAGGCCCAGGGGCCACATCGCTCACCTGAGCACTCTGGCTAGGAAAAACCAGAAATCAGTTCAGTCTTGAAAAGTTTTGATATAAAAGTGGTTCGAGGGGGGGGGGGTGTAATTTGAACTTGAATCTATACTTCAAAGGGATGCTTTTGAATTAATATGACAAATAATGGCTATGTTGTTCTTAGGAAGACAATTTTTATTGATATATCATTTGTACTCCTTTGTATAACTATGATCCCCTGTTATGGCCCCTCTATTCTCTTGGGGGGTCATGATTTGAACAAAATTTGAATCTACATTACCTGAGGATGCTTGCATTTAAATATGACTAATTATTGCTTTGCTGTTCTTCAGAAGAAGATTTAAAAAGGCTTGCTTTTTCCTATGTATTCCTATGTAAAACTTTGATCGCCCATTGTGGCCCCACCCTACCCCTGGGAGGTCATGATTTAAACAAACTTGAATCTACACTACCTGATGATGCACCCATAAAAAAAAAACAATCATGGCTTTGCTGTTCTTGAAAAAGATTTTACAAATTTGTCTATGTATTTTACGTAAAACTTTTATCACCCATTGTGGCCCCAGCTTACCCCCGGGGGTCATGATTGAAACAAACTTGAACCTGCACTACTTGAGGATGCTTCCAAGTAAATATGACCAATCATGGCTTTGTTGTTCTTGTGGAGAAATTTTTACAGATTTTTCCTATGTAATCTTATTTAAAACTTGGATCGCCCATTGTGGCTCCATCCTACCCCCGGGGGTCATGATTTGAACAAAACTGAACCTACACTACCTGAGGATGCTTCCATATAAGTTTCATATTTTCAAGCACAGTGGTTCTTGAGAAGAAGATTTTTAAATGATGCCATTAATTTTTCATGAATTAATGATTATCTCCCCTTGGAAGAAGGTGTGGCCCTTCATTTGAACAAATTGGAATCCCCTTCACCCAAGGATACTCTGTGCCAAGTTTGGTTGAAATTGGTCCAAACAGGGTATTATTTTAACTCGGAATAATTATTTCATTTGGAATATAAAGAATTGAAAAAAATAAGCAACTAAGTCTCCTTACATGTACTTGTAGCTCAGAAGAAAAAAAATGTTGCCTTTATTCTCTGCATTTTGTGTCTAATACAGTATTGGGGTAAAGATTTTGCTTATCTCTCTATAAATAATTTATTTTATTTCTTGTAATATTGTTTTTTTCTTTTTAATTTATTTGTTTGTTTGTTTATTGTTGTGTTTGTTTATTTATTTGTGTAAACAAGGTTGCTTGTATTGGCAGGGGTTAGATGAAAATTTTATGGGGTTAGTTGGCGCATGCCTAAAGGGGTTAGTCGCCGCTCAGCGGCGACTAACCCCTTTGAGCATGCGCCAGTTGAGTTAGTTAAAAATCCTGTAGTAAATCCATATACAATGTGTATTCAGTCTGTACTGTTAATCAGTCCACGCGATGTACAAATTAAACGGTAATTAACACGGTAGAAGTATTTGTACTGTCACACTGCGCTAAAATCTCAAGTATCTTTCATTCTACAAGTATCCATGAATGAAGACTACACATGCCGATATCCTAAAGAAATAACTCGCAGAGAACGAAAATACATACCAATGCATATTCATTACGATAACCGAAAACACTAACAAGTATTTTTACAGTCGTAACAACGATTAAATCCAACAAATAACCAGAGAAATGCGACGATGTCAACACTGCCAATACACTGCAGACAACTCCTGTTCGACGTCACTTTTCGAAGTGCGACGTCACACGTACACTGTTTTCCCGAACTTTCTGTGTCAAAATCACAGGCACTTGTTTCGTATACGGGGCACCCCTACTTATTTTTACCACAAGGTACCTAACTCAATTTCAGGCACCCCCGCTTCAAACTCGTATTTTGTTTATATATTAATCATTAACCTACTTTAAAATGACATCGTTCGCTTCGAAAGACTTTTTTCTTGTCAAATTAATCGTTTCGGACGTCTCTGATCGAGCCTCTTTATTGTAAACCACTTATTTCTTCCTCGAAAATTATCTCGATACAAAATAAGACTACGAATCGGATACATTAACTTCCGGTTGGGTTATAAATGAAGGATAAAACCAGAGACCTCGGAAAGGAATTCTCGTAAGTCTCTGGATTTATCCTACATTTATAACCCAACCGGAAGTTAATGTATCCGATCCGTAGTCTTATTTTGTATCGAGATAATTTTTGAGGAAGAAATAAGTGGTTTACAAAAAAGAGGCTCGACCAGAGACGTCCGAAACGATTAATTTGACAAGAAAAAAGTCTTTCGAAGCGAACGATGTCATTTTAAAGTAGGTTAATGATTAATATATAAACAAAATACGAGTTTGAAGCGGGGGTGCCTGAAATTGAGTTAGGTACCTTGTGGTAAAAATAAGTAGGGGTGCCCCGTATACGAAACAAGTGCCTGTGGTCAAAATGGCGAATAGGCATTGTATGTAATATAAGGTATTCTGTCATCGTAGTACAACACACAAACTTTATTCCTTTAGATTAAAGTTTTCCTTCACTTAGGTAATCAAATATCAGAAGAGGAGACGAAAGTGGGGAGTATTTAGTACAGAAAACAGGTTACAAAAATTTGAAGATCCATGATCCGCCCACTAGTTTCACCCCAGCTAAGAGGTGCATATTTAGTGTGCACATCTTGAGTTTTCAAGTCGATGTGACGTCACAGTCAAGAGCAGCTATATAGTATGACAAGAGCATGATAATGCAGGGAACAGATTCTGTTAAAAAATTAAATTATTTGTATCTTTCGATTGATTTTAAATAAAAAGATCAACATTTAAAAAAAATGATTTATAGTGAAAGCTTAAAGAACGTTAATCGTCAATTATCAATACATTTTGATCCTACGGGGGGGGGGGGGGGGGTTTGGAACCAAATAAGGGGACGACCATTTGATTCTGAGGGGAGGGGGGTAATAAATAATCTGTCCTTTAAAATGTTGGTCTTGGAAATAAATAATCCGTTCTTGACTGGCAAGAAAATAAAGAATTTGTCTTTGACTGATGCTATGAAAATAGTCCTTCACCGACATAAAAAATAAATTGGACTCGGAAAAATTTCCACCCACCCCTTTTCAGAATCAAATGGTCGTCTCCCAATCTGTCTTGCATACACTGGGACAAATAAGGAGGAATGTAACCCAACCCCCAATCCCAATTTTCTCAGATTATTTTTTTTTGTTTGTCAGATTTTTCAAGGAGAAGTAAAAAGTAAATTAAGCTTGATTATCTCTCTCAACTTTGATTTGAATCGACAAAATATTGCCAGCCCCTAAATTATATCCATTATAGCCATATCCTAAATCATTTTGTAATTAAGTAAAACCCGTGAAATAACAGATCGATATATTAAAAAAAAAATCAACCAGATGATTCACGTTGACCATTACTTAGAGAGTCTATATCGATATCCAAATCCGATACCCCCACCCCGATTTTAATAATCACATACAGCACAGTTGAAATATTTAATTTCTTTTAATTTTCTTCTTGAATCTTAAAACTTCAGACAAACCGTGTAGACCAAGGAAACAATTTATAAACGAAATACTAAACAGCTTCACAGAAACCCGATTCTTAAATCAGGGGGCTTCTTAAATCAGGGGGCAATGGTTAGATTTTATTCCCACCCCATTTCCGGCAGGAAAAAAATGGCAGGTTTAATCACAATGTAATAACAAAAAATGGGGTAGAGGTCGGCTTTTCAATAAAAAAAATTCCAGACAAGGCTCTCTGAAAAAAAAGTCACTACATCGAAGGGTTTTAATCTATATGCACTTTCTAAATGTACCTTATATTCAATATCTCTTTCTCCCCTAATGGAGGTTTTTCCTCCGGTGATGATGGTCACAGGATACACGTATTTGGTATTTGGCAGTACTGGAAGTTTCCGAATCACACTCAGCCAATCGCGAAAGAAGTAGACCTTGCAATCATATTTTATGCCAATTATAAATAAAATAAACACACACACACACACACACAATATTTTAGTTTTTCTTTTATTAACAACGATAAATTCCTCCTTCCTGAACAAAGTGTGACATGTAAAACTTTGAATTATGTTTTAAATCCTCTTTTACTTTTTTTTTTTTTTTTTTTTTTTTTGATAAATCCATGCACTAAAATGGAGATGAAGA